CATTACTGTTTTCGGTCCTTAATTGCATGTTGTCGCCATCTACTGCCTGAAACCATCGTCCTTTGCGGGCGAGACGTCGCACGCGACGCCCAGCAGCGCGGCAAATTACGATCCTCTTGTCACATACCCCACAATGTCTGAAAGACAGAATACGCGCTTCGCGACCGCACGCGTCACCAAGTCAACAAAACGCACGAGTGGGACACAAGAGAGCCTCTTTTGGACTCGCTGAATTAGATCTCGACTTCATGGCGTTAGAAGAGTAGAGTTATAGTGGACTTTGTATCAATCTCATTATAATGCTTACGCTGTATCGACAATGTCGTCAAAGATAAGCCGTGCGTCCGTCTCTCATTCAAAGTTGCAGATATTTTTACAGTCTACTGACTGCCATTCGTGGATGATTAGAAAAAAAATTCAAATGAAAAGTCATGAATTATGCCCTTCATAAATTTATGAATATTGGCGTTATCCCTGATTGTACTAGATGTTTTTAACCACTGACAAGATTGGAAGGCCTTATTAGGCCGAGATTCAGTGGTTTTCCTCGAAAGGTAGGCCTGACAATGTCGTATACACTTTCAGATGTATACGAAGAAAGCAGGGTGTTTTGTAACACACCAGCTGAAGTGTTCCAGTGGGTTTTTCAAGCTTCAAATAAGCATCGACACAGCCCCTACTTGTTATGCATACATGTTTGCTTGGAGGAGAGTCAGCTAACACGAGCAGGGCTGCTCGAAGAGGCTTTTGAAATGAGCCTACAGTCCTCATCATTGCGGACGGTGGGGCGTGTCAGTGCGGCTGCGTTTGGCGCGGTGCCAAAGTCGTTCTGCACCAGTTGTTGAAGCGGGCAAGTGACATTATCTTCGTATTACTCCTTTTCTACCACTTTTTGTCGCATACGCATTCCAACAAAAATGGCTGAGAACGGCTTCAACAGTGTGCGCACTCATACTGGCTGACACGCCCTCCGGTCCGCAATGATGAGGACTTTATATAGCCATCCACTTTGGACGTTGATGTTAAATTTGCCCTCCGAATCTGCTAAACGATTCCGCGAACAAACTTATGGCCGTTTGTTGAACGTGACAAATGCTCAACAACAATGTAGAGTATGTTAGCAACCTTGAAACGCGTTACAATAGCCGTAGTGGGCGAGGCAAACCAACAGATGTCTGCAAGGTCAAGAAGTCGAAAATGCTCGCCAAGCCCATGCATTTTGCTGGTCTATTGAAAATTTTGTTAAGCGCAAAGCACTTGTGCGGGCCTAAGGGAACTTAATTTTAACGAAAATGACTCTGGCATTCAGTCATCAGAACAACTGTAGTTTCAGGTTTTAGCTAATTTGGGGGTTTTTTGTGGGCCTCACATATATAGGTGCTGATCATGGGTGTGATGAGTCAAAAAAGCCGGGACATGAGCAAGAGAATCATTATATGTCGCAGCCATCGCACGACGCGGCACCTGCGAGCCGGGGAAATTTTTAACCTGGGCGTCACGCGGCGATGGACGCGGGGAAACCAGTGTCAGTTTGTCGATTGAAACAGCAAAACTCGAGGGATTCGCTGCTATTGGACGTATTTCACTTGAATAAATTGTTAAAAAAAAATGTGAGTAATTGTCGCCAAATCAGAGTTAGCACGTACAATAACAGTTTGTTGGAAATGTAGAAGCATGAAGAACCTCAGCCAGAACCGCTCACGGCTGGCGCGCTCCGTAACACCTTTTCCCGTCATTATATTTAAATTTCAAATGGTTGAGCGACTGGAACTTCGCTCTCTCGCGTCGCAGACGCAGCCAGCCGCGGGCCACATTACGCGGTTCTCGCTCGTCCTAATACCCAAAATGCTGGCTTAATTTTGTTCCAAGAATCGTTTAGTCGATTTAGAGGGCAGATTTGTGACCAGCTTAGGAAGGCGCGTCAGATGGTATACATTTCATGACACGGCCACTTCGACATATGGTGGGAACTGAGACGGATAAAAATAGTCGGTTACTGAGGCTATACAAGCACATTTTATCATCAGACCCGAGGGTACATCGTTGTTGGGGAATGCCCCAGAGAACAGGGGATCGAACTTAAGCCGCCAGGAGAAGGGGAATCTTCCAATAGGGTCGAATTTACGCCGCAGGAGAAGGCGGGGGGGGGGTCGTATTGGGCTAAGGAAAATTTATTTTGAATAGTTGATTCTCTCGCCGTATCACGGACTCTTGTAACAGGAGCGGGCCAGTACTTTGCTTCATTGTTGGGAGGGGGCGTCCGTCATTTATTTTTGCCTTCTAAGAGTGGTGGTTGGATTTTCCTGTTTCATGTACGGTATATACATTCTCCCCCACCGCTCGCTCGACAGCAAAATTTTCGGGAAAAAGTAGGGAGTTCTGTAGGAAATTTTCAGAAAAAGGGGAAGGAAGTTGGGAAAATCTGAAAACTTGCGTTAGGATGTGCGGAAGGGTATATGTCTAGCAATTTTCCCTGTTTCAAGCAGATTGCTTATTTACCTCCCCCATCCCCTCCGCTCGACGCTCGAGCTCGATGAGGAGGACAACGGGTCAGAGGGGGAGGCGGTATACCACCCCCCCCCCCCCAAAAAAAACGGGGGGGCGAGAGGTCGTATATGGACTTTAACCAATTATTTGGCCCTGATCAGAAACTTAATTATAGCAATTTATGCTCACTTATCAAAGAGAAAAAACTGGCATAGTTGAATCAGACAAAACGACTCACATGAAGGCTATAATGGAAAACATCTGTTCGATGAATGTGGTTCAACAAATCAAAAGTCAAACATTCTCTCTTACACTTATAATTATAGGCAATAGGCCTCTCAACACGACGACTTGCCAACTGCAGTAATAACCTCAGAATCATTTACTTGAGTGACATTAATCAATCACATGCTGTGTACTTGCCGATGACGTAGTAATTTAATGAAATTCCGAGAAATGTCGTCGACCACAGTCTCGTAGCGTTGTTGTTGAAAATAACCGCTACAATTTTCCAGACTACAGAAGAATTCGTACCCCTGAAGGCTGCTCATTTCACATATTTTGACTGAGGCAATCCGATGGAGACTGCCTGGCATTAAACGTCATACTTTACTTGTTTATTTTGTTGTTTGTTTACCCCTCAAAGTGAGCTTCAAAATGCAGATAAATATACTCTACTACATGTTTTACAACAGATGATCAACAAATCTTGGAATGAACAACAAACATCAGAGGAGCAATAATTCAAACCAATAGAAAATGCCATTCATCCCCATGTAGGCAATGAAACAGGGTTTTTTTTCCAAATTAGTTTTAAGTAGCGAGTTGGAACAATCGTACTCAACTTTAATCACAAGCCACGCCCACCACCGTGGCGGCTCACTATTCTTACGGATGACGGCACGATGATTTGGTTCTTTCTCGGAAGTAGTAGCGGGGTGCTACATAGCGGGGGAATGACGAAAAAGCGAAGTCAAACGGTCAAAAAATCCGCGAAAAAGCCTCTGTTCTACACGGCATCGGAGGAGCATGCTGTGGCATCGTGCCAACAAAGACGGATGTCTGGTAGGTCTGGCTGCACGTGCCGCATTCACATATCCATGTAAGCCAACACTCTCATATCGATTGTCACTTCATGATGAAGCGGTAGACAAGTGCCCGGCACATAATGTAAGTGCTGCGGCATTTGTGAGTGGGAGGGGTACATCTCGTTCTTGCTGGGACTCGGCCAACAGGCGGAGGGGGAGAACGTAATTTGCTCGTTGATTCCGTGGAGAGGGAGTCGTTTTTCTTTTCGCCGAGTCGTTTTCTTTTTTTTTTTTTTCTTTCTTTCTTTTCTTCTGAGACAGCTTGCGACTTCGTTGTTTTTTGCTGTTTCAATGTGTAGTTTCTAATATACCCACCGACCCCGTCCCCCTCCCGGCCTACCTCTCGCCCACTCGAACAGAAAATTCTTGGGGCAAAAAACTTAGAAAAAGTTTCGGAAAATCTGCGGGAAGCAGTGTAGGAAGTTAGATGAAAACCTGAGGTGTAGAGACAGAGCATTCGGTATATTTTCTCCCGCGGTTTTCCGCATTCAGCGAACGTGCTATTTATAATCGCCGGCTCCCCCCCCCCTCCGCTCGACAGCTCAATGAGGAGAGAACCAGGGGGCGTACCAACCCCCTAAAACAAGGAGGGGGGGGGTCGCATGTTGCACCTTGGTCAGCGCTACACCCGAAATTGGAATAGTTGCCGCCAACAAACAGGGGCAGCACAATATTCTTCTCGTGCTGGGACATGCGAACACTGTTTTCGTCTTGTCGATTTATCGTGGCCGACTCGCCTTTAAGAGCGCACTGTTATGCGTCTTGGCATCGCTGCACTTGTGTGCTTTAAGTCGGCGTATAAAGGTTTACTATTATGGGAGAAAATTGTGCACATATTCGAATGCTTCTACAACCAAAGATCAGCACTGCTCCCCTCAATTGATGCTATACAGAACTACTGATTAGCTGCAGACGGGCTGCTAGATAGATTCTTACCTGAAGGAGATTAGTCGCTTGAATCTTCACAATGAGTTCGAAGTACAGAAACCAGTAAAAGCAAAGAACTGTCGTTCTTTTCGGACAATGCTTATGATAAGATCTCTATTAAAGGAATCTTTTTCTGGCGAGCGCATGAGCTCAGGGACAATTCATTCAAAGCCGAAGGCAGCTTAGCAAGGCCAACCAGCGGGGTCCAGTTTTCTGCCTAGCAGAGAAAGTCTACCAGTAATGGACACTAATGTTTCCTGTTATACGCCTCATTCACGGCAATGCTACCTTCTAGGAATCCCTTTCGCAAGCCCACAAGTTGGCGGTTCACTGCGCGAAGCTCTGGGTGTCCTGTAGCACGTGTAGCACGTTCGCCTAGCCAAATGCTGGTACGCGCTCCTTCTTCTGCACTTTTACAGAATCATTAACCGGTATTTATTTGATAATACTTGTAAAAACTCTTGAATACAAAAATCTGAGCCGTGACGTCATCGTAGATCATGACTGGGGTGCGATTTGCTGAGCAGCTTCTGCCCTTTGCTTAGCAGCTTCTTCCCTTTCCAACTGTGCATACATCCTTCTCAACTTCTGATTACGTTCACACTCCTGAACCATAATGAACTAAATAATTAAAAGTTTCCAATTCTAGCATGAACTATTTTTGAAAATAACTTTCTCCATCACGAGTTTTCTTTTTACAATAAAAAGAAATACATAGATTACAACTAGAAATAGCAGAGACAGTACATATCAAATGACGGCCCTATCACGTCTGCTGCTCCATGGGATGCAAGATCCGCAGACCAGCCTTCTCATGCAGGCCTAACCAAGCCGTCCATCCTCCCGGGTCGGTGAAATGGCTAACAAGAAAACGGTACACAAATTATTGTACTGTGAGATCGGTATGTCAGCCAACCTCACCACCCCTCAACGTTCGCTCCTCTTATACTCACTCCCTGTCTCCATCCTACCTAACCATTGACCCTAATCCTCACTCCTTATCAAAATCTCAGAGAATAAAAAATTGGGTTCTCGCAAAAATAATCGGGAGATAAAGGGGACGTGTGTTCGCCATCTGACTACTAAGTTCAATTATCAGTCAATTATTACTAATTCAATTATTTCCTAGCGTTGGGGAACGTTTGCAAAATACGACCCCTCTCGCGAGTTTTCTTGTGCGGTACGACCCTTCCTCATCCTACCTACTATCCATCTTCCTGAATTTTCCCAACATTCCACCTTTTTTTCAGCTTTTCCTTAGCTTCGTTTTTTCAAATATCTGGTTTTCTGCTACCGAGTAGCTGCCGTCGAGGCGGGAAAAGGTGAAACGGGGGGAGGGGGGGGAAGAAAGGGGTCTACGTAGCGCACCGACACAGGAAAAAACCGAGAAAAGTCAACAACGGAAAACATTTCCTCCCCAGGAAATGAATACTTCCCATCCCTCCTTCAGGGACCGGGTCAGCGACTCTCCTCTGCTGGATGCCCCAACGCAGGACTGCGCCTGACTATCAGAAAGTAAGTCTAAAATACTACGCTGCTGGCAACACCGCCAACCAGGGAATGTGTAGCGTGATAACGAGAAAATTTTGTTGAATGTCAACACCGGAAGAATCTCGTGGCGGCTCTTAACACCACATGTCCCCGAAGCGTTTCGCGACGGCGCCGTTTCGGGCACCAAGCTCCGCATTTGTCGCGAGAGACTGCGTTCGCTGGGGGCGACCACTGTAAGGACTCATCCGTTCAATGGTTGCGCGCGTCGCGACGGAACCATAAACGCCTGAAAATTCACGGAAGCCGTTTCTCGCCATTCTTTTGACACTTTTGCCTTCTACAAATTTTATCTAATTTTCGGTAAATGAACTAGCTTTCTTGCCCTTTTTGATGTTCACCGTTACACAACACAAAGAGGATGTAGACTCCGATTCTTGTGAAAGTTCTTAGTTCCTCTTGTAAAAACCACTACTGCCTCACCTGTTTCCGAAAAATACACGAGAAATGTCTTTAGTATTACTTGTATATTATTTGTTTTATGATTTGTCCATAATTGCCAGTGAAAAGAAGTAAAAGTCATCAAAAAACGAGCGAAGAGGCGTGTGTACTCCCAAGAATGCACGACTCGCCTAAAGAGGAAAGTTTTTGAGTATTTTTCAGGTATATACGCCTCTTCCAATGTGTGGATATTATTTCGCTATTGTTTGATTATTATTTATATCCAACTGTTAGTGTGGGAAAAGAAAATAAAATACAAAAACCAGCGATTAGGCGCGTGTACTCCCGGGAGTACACGATTCGCCGAAAGCGGAGTTTTTTCGTGTACTCCCGGGAGTACACGCCGCCGCGAAGGTGTTAAAATTTCGAGGCCACAAGCGACGCCATATGGCGACGATATACACCTCTGCCGAGTGCGAATAGTACTGATGGAATATTCCCCACGATGTTGCACCCTGTAACAGATGTTCGGGAGGAACAAGCGGGAGGATTCGTATGTTGGCTCCCGCAACATGTTAATAGGGGGCCGCTGGGATGAGTCAGATGTTGTATTGTAAAGGAAGAGAAGTAGTTTCGGCGTTGATCAGTCCCTTCTTTGGGATGCCCCACGCATTCTTCTTCTTTTCTCTCTTTTCACCTAGTGCAGATAGGCCACCATGGTGGGCGGGAGAAAAAATGTGTGCCTATCTTATCTTGAAAAAGGTACTTATTAACGTCGAAAGCTCCTTAATTCATGGTTTTTAAAATGTTTTCTGCGTGGGTCGATGTCCTAGTGCCGTGGACACAACAAAGTCTGTTATTATGCAGCTTTCCCCAGCAGTTAATGATATCTTTGCTCTTCAGTTGGGGAAAAACGACAATAATTCCAAGTGAATCATATGCCAAGTGACTATCAACTCAAACCAACAATTTGGCGATGAAAAATCGAATATTCTCCTCCCCTAATTCTGTGATGGGAATCAGGGAACAGAAATCCGGGCTGTGGCTTAGGGGAGGGGGGGGGGGGTGGTGCCTATGAACAAGGTCACTTGTAAGTAGTCGAAATAGAAGTCATATTGAAGATTCAAAACTTTGCAAGCAAATGAAAGCGTCAGACTGCATGGGCAAAATCGGGCCTCCCGCTGTGCACTCCCATCGGGACGAACACCCTTTTTTACCTTCTCACGTGGGAAAGATACATTATTGAGGAACTAGCAAAGTAGATCTGACTCCGCCCACACGACCACTGTGAACTGTACCTCCAAATGATCTCAAGGAACGACCGAAAACTCGTACAGAGCTTAGAATTGGGGGAATTACTATACTGGCTCCCCAAACTGGGCAGGTGGCGCCATTCCAAGCGCAGGGGTATATGATACTTTCGCCACCCTGGAGGCCGATCCCACAACTAAGATTAAGATAATTCCGTTGTTCTTTTTAGACGTTGCCATTTCTCTCTCCTGAGGATCTTCATCATCGTCATCTGCGGTGACTTTGTTTTCAGTGAGGTCCTTCATTACGAAGTCTTTTCACCTGCTCTCCGGGGATCAGTGAAATAGCTTGCCCAGCGCTACCGAGCCCGGTGCTCTTTTCAGGACGCATGAAGCAACATGAAAGGTTATACTAGTTTTTGACCTCCCACTTCTGCTCTTCCTATCCCCTAATCCTTCGTTGATCCCCTCAAACAATCTCACAACTAGAAATGACCTCTCAGCATTATTAAGCCAGACGCTTACTGGGAACTACTTAGCCAAACAATTATCAAGAGTCAACCAATTACTGGGAACTAATGCGAACATGTGCTATCACAGAAATCATAACCTCACCAACAAACATCAAAGAGGTAAGAAGAGTGCAGGTGAAGGAAGCAATGGTTAGATTCGACGCATAATGCAGTACTTTTGGTAGACCTCATATCACCCGAAGCAAAATTCTCCCGGGATCGGTTCCACGCTGTCATAAATATTTAATCATCAGAGGGTGGATTGAGCATCACCTGACCCTATAAACTCTTGAATGGGCCCAACACGCTTATGGATATCTTCAGAATTTCGGATGGATGCTGGATGTACAGCGTACGCCACCGGGTCTAATCAATGTCTCCGTATGATCTGGACCAGTTGCCTGCGCACTCTCACACTTAGTTGTTCGCTACCTCTGCTTACGTGTTTCGCTTATGGGTTTTTGATACCGAAGCAAGTGCTGAAAGGTACAGGGTCATCGTTGTGTGAAAACGGGGGGGGGGGGTCGTATGGGTTCAGAGAGAAATTTGTTGGGCGCTGGGAGAATATTTTTCTGACTGTTAACTTTTCGCGCGGCGATGTTTCCTGTTTCATGTATACTATATACCCTGCTCCCCCTCCTACCCGCTCAGCAGGAGAATTCCTGGGTAAAAGTAGGGGAATTCTCGGGAAATTTCGGAAAAAGTGGTAGGAAGTCAAAATCTAAAGAAATGTTTTTCGTTTCAGACAGGCGCTTATATACACGCTTCCCCATCGACGAAAAAAATTCCCCTGGGTGAACAACTGGAAAATATGGGGAAATTAGCAGGTAGGTAATAGAAAAGGGGAGGGGGTCGTACCGAGACCCTCTCTCTCCTAGGTGGGGAGTTGTACCAAGACCCTCCTGTTCCTACTCATGAAGCAGCGCAACAAAAACTAAACTTACCCTGACTTGGGGGAAGCGAATGTGGAAATGGTAAAATAGTGATTGTTTAATATATTTTATATTTTTTAATTGTTTTATTTTCTTAAAATTCCAATTTTGTGTCGATATCATGGTAGAGGTAAACAACAAACAGTGTTCATCTGTAGAGGAACCACCTTCGAAGAGAGGGGGTCCTTACTGGCACGACCATTTCTCCAGCACCCATCACGATGCTGACCCTTGCAGTGCCGCGCTAGGAGGTAAATAACGATGGATAGTAGGGAGAGGCACTCTGGTATTACAACCCTCCAGCCCAATTTTCGTGCACTTTTGAGCGGAGAAAGCGGCACGGTACAGCAACTGCGGATCCATTCATCTTGCACATAGAAAAGACCCTCCTCGGAGGTCAGTATAGAGCTTGTATTTAAAAACAGCTTACGAAAATAGGTGAGTACTTACCACTTTCATCAGTTCCACTAATCGGTTGAATTCTCGCCTTTCCTCATTCATCTCGTTTTGTATCAGCTGTCAATCGAGCTTTTTCTTCCAGCAGAACCTTTTTTGCGCTCACTCACCTACAAGTACACAGTACAGGGAAATTCTAGCACTTTACAGCACTTTACGGGAGCCCTAAGGTACCATGTGGAACATGGATCTGTCGTGCACAAACGCCATCGTCGAGTACGAGTCATCTGCGAACCTACCTTACCTTTTTATAGACCCCTTCAACTGCTTGATTCATGGTGTTCAGAGCGTCGATGAACGAGTCCCGGTAGGCCTCCTGTTTGGCTCTGGAAACAAAAATATACTTCGATTGAGCACAAGAAGACAATTCATTCGCTACAGTTCATCTTACGATGCCTGGATGGGGCGTGCCAACGGACATAGGGCAGCAGAGTGCAGGTAAGCAGTCGCCGCTGGGCTCACTATTGAGTCCGCAGACACGCCCCTTCATCCACCGCAAAAGACCGGAACCTTTACAAATGGTAAACGCATGCAAGGACGGCGTTTCCCTCTCAGACAGCATCGTCTTTTTCGGGCATGAAAATTCATGAGAAACCTACTGTGGGAGGATTTCTTCAATCTTCGTCAGCATTTCAAATTCCTTTTGAAGGAAATTATTCACATCCACGAGTGTGTTGTTTAGAGTAATATACTGCTTGGTTTGTCGAGTTCTGCTTGCCACTAAAACTTCATTTATACAAATTTAGGTTACGCAAAAGCCATGGTATACATTAAAAGATGCTACTGCGGTTAAGTGTGAGGGAGGCACACGCGGTGTTACCAAGTCTACTTGTCTGCGCCATCCCACCAAGACAGTGATGTTTGTTCCTTCAAGGAGGGGCGGACAAGACAATCGCAATCTGCCGCGTCGTTGTGCGCGACGCACTGTGCGGTAATGCTCGGCAAATTCTCGACGTGCATCGGTTTGTCGATTGGAGCAGCGGAACTCATGTGAATTCTAGTGCAGGCAAGTTCCCACTCCGAACAATATCCCGATAGATCCTCTCCGTCCCTTTCTTACTAACACATTCCAAACCGACGCCTATTTCGCGTAGCGTTCACGTGTGACCGCGACCTTTTTCGATGCAAGGCTGGCGTGACACACATGGTGGGACAGGCGGCCACACGGGGCAGGTTTCAGTCGCGACTTTAAGTTATTGATTATTTCATTCTGAAAATGTGTACCTGCGGGTTATTATCAATGCCAATGCACTAATGCGACAGGCGATCATTTCTAGCGCTGGCGCCCCTGGCGAGCCCATTAGGCGCCGCGATTTGTTTATAGCGGAAGATGTAACTTTGTAGTTGGGATACTCAGGCACGAATATTACATTCATCTTGGACGCCGGCGCCGTTTGGTGCCAGAGCGTAAATTAGATAATTAACTGTAAATTTTAGCTTCTGAAGATCGTGACACACATGGTGTGTCACACGGCCACAGGGAGCAGACACGTGTGACAGGGCGTGGTCGCAGGAGGGCGCTTCGGCGGGCCACGATTGTCTTGTCTCCGGTCTTCAGGTTCACCCTTGGACAGCGCCAGATGACCCGAGTTGATGCGTGCAACTCTCTCTCCAATTTCAGCTACATCAGTACCAATGAATAATCAAATTGTGGGGAAGAGTGCGCGATATTCGCGGTCGTTATAAGAGGGGGGAGTGAGGAGCGGACCATGGACGTGGCGAACGGAGCGTGAATTCATGGATTTCAAGATAAACTTGAGCTGAGGGTATGTCACAGGTAACGTTTCCCTAGGGATTAACGCAGGAGGAACGATAAGGCAACAAAACGGAGCAGCAAGTCAAGAGTTATGAACAACTTCAAAGCACCCTCGCGCTCGAAAATGGTGATTTGCGGCCAATACTGAAGATGGCAAATAATACAAAAGTAAAAAGAAAAGCACTAAAACCCGTCAAAATGCCCTATAGGACCCCATGCTGAACTGTGTTAGTAGGCGAACAAGACAAAGAAAGGACGTGGTCGGATGAGTTCTCAAGTGTGTGTTGGTGCCAGTTTTTCTCCTTATCACCTCACTGCCACCATTTGAAGTGAGAAGTGGGGAGAGTTACTGACGGAACCACCGCGTCGTCAGGTAACAGTTAAAAACAGAAGTTGGGCGTTGACATGGCCAGTGGGCGGAGCCGTGGTTGCATCGCGAGCAAGCGGCGCTTTCCTCACGTGTATTTTTTGACAGCTGGCAAAAGCAGTACATCCATATGCTTGCAGGAAGGACTACCGTACCCGAGGAAGCTCAAATGAATGCAGTACGTGACTTCAAATCCAGTATCGCAATGTTTCCAGAACCCGCTTTATTCCGACAAAGCTGAGAGGGTAACAGGGAGTCCTGGTGGCGCAACGGATAGCACACTTTCTCAAAAAGCGTGAAATGCAGGTCCAAGTCCGAGGTCCGACTTCTGCCCACATCTTATCATTCTTTAAATGTTTTTTTGTTGTAACTTACTTTCATTGTACAACTCTATCAATCGTTTGTGGTACTGAAGACCACATCTTCCAGGGGTCGAGGAACGCTGTCCAATTGGTATGAATACAGTGCTAAACGTTGATTGACCTAAAAAATCCAAAGATAAAAATTTGACCCGGGCGGAGACTTCCGAACAAAAGGGGTGGAGGTAGTAAAATGGATAAAGTCATTACCCTCGGTGCCAGGGCACACATCCCTTGCTGGATATTGTCGCAATCCCGTCAAATTTTCTTCTCCCCTACGACACCTCTCTCACAACCGCCCAACGACCACTACTATCTCTCCCAATTCAGTCAAGCGAAAAAGTGAGCGGGGTGGGGTAGGTACCACCTCGGATCAACTATCACAAATGGTAATTTTGCAACACCGCCAACAGAGTAGCTCGTACGTTGGAGATCACTATAGGGTTGACTTGGTCGCTGGAAGGAGGAAGGGAGGCAGGGAGGGATCGAGGAAAGGAGAGGGAGCCGTACTTGCTTGTGAAGAATGTTTTCGATTGTTGATCTTTTTCGGTTCTTCCCATACTACGCGCCCTATGTCCACCCCCCCCCCCCGGCGGAAAGTTTTAGAAAAAAAAACTGGAGAACTTAGAAGCAAAAGCGAAACGGGGTAGGAAATTAGTAGAACTGGGAAGAGGATGGGGAGACAGCTTAACGGGGTGTATCAGAGGGAGGAGTTTTGGAGAAAAAGGAGCGTATTTTTTCGGATATTGCCCTAAAGTGATACGTGCCCTAACAGCGTCTAGCGACTGCCCTCGCCCCCCCCCCTCCTCTTGTGTGTTTCCACAACGGTGATGGTGAGGCCTGATTACGTCTCGCTTTCTGAACCCGTTCGAGTCCCGTTCGAGTCCCCCACTGGAATATGGAACAGTGCAGGCCTAAATTAGAACTCCCCCCTCCCACAAATATTACTCTGCTTCGACAGAAGTCTATTTCATGTACTACAGGACTATCAGTTTTATTTTGCAGTGCACGATGAAGTCTTGAAAGTTAAAAGTTGAATGTTGTGCTGTCAGGGCCAGTGCAGAATCTCATCAACACTACCCCCTCTTCTCCCCCCCCCCCTTCCCAAGTCACTATGAAGGAAGATGAAATGTTTTAGCCATTGTTTAAGCTCTTTTTGGGATGCGGCACGCATTTTACTTCCATTCAGGATTGCTCCATGGCCCTTATAATGATATACAGGGGTTAGCCGATGTACAGGTCAGCGATCTTATCCTTCCTGACAAACTTGGTATAGAAAGCTTGGTAAGCCTTTGCGGGATTTGGCCATCGGATCGCGCGTAGGCCATCCTCTCTTCAGAGGGAAAATAAGCCAGGAGGGATATGTACAGGAAATGAACGAGATCTTGATATTCCAGAGATCAACTTGATATAAGTTCCGCAGGATTAGTTTATGAAGCTTTTAAGCTCATCAAAATCCCGAAGCCAAAAAAAGGAGAAGAAACTTGTTAAGCAAAACCTACTTCGGCTAGTTGTAATCGTTCAGCGGCTACTTTTTGTTCC